ACTGTGAAACTTCCAATTGCCAGATGCTGACAAAGATATTTGAGTGAGGGAAGAAAAAGGGAAAAATGTAGAGAGGAAGGAGGTTTGACAAGGATCTGTGGTACAGAGATGAACGATGAGACAGTGAATGAAATGAAGGGACTGAGAAATGACAGAAGAGAGAGTGGAGAGCAGAAATAAATGAAAGAAATTAGGGAGAAAGCCTCTGTGCCTGACAGGGCACATTGCTGGGAATGAAACCCAAGATCCCTGGCTCAGCATTTCCCCGCTGCCAACAAACATCCACAAAAATGTTTCTGTGTTGCTGGGGCTCCTGGAGGACGGTAACTGATTATTACAACTATTCTTTTATCTTTGCAGCTGAACTTTTGTTTGCTCACTGGCCTGTAGGGTTGGGGCAGGAGGGCTGGAGACTGCACTGAAAGATGGCAATAAAGAACATAGCACTGCACTGACAGGAAGTTTCAAACTTCAGGTTGCCCATGGGATCTGAACTTGCTCCCTTCCCATTTAGGAGTAAGTATAAAGATACAAATCTTTGCTAGGCACATCTTTTCCCCACTGGATCGGCTTACTCCCAAAGTAAACTAAACTGCATTTCTTTGACAAGCAGATTTTCAGTACTCTGTCTCATAATTCTTCATGTGGCTCCATGCCTCACTGAATGCTCGTTGATGAATTTTCATTCTGAATGAAGAACTAGCAACTCCTCTTTCTGGTGTTCATCACTGGAATACGCAAGTATGCACAGATCCACAAAATAACAGCTTTCAGTCATGTAGCTGATCTTTAAATTTGTCATTTATTACTTTGAAAGAAAAGCTTCATTTCTCAGTTAGCTTGTGTAGAATACATACCCCCAGAGATACAAATTTACAATCCAAAGATCTGAGAACACAAAGACTCAAAACTTATTTATCTGGATTTATATTTGTAAGATCTCATCTAAGAAGTCATAAGGGAAAACAGGATTCCAGGAAAAATACAGGATACAAATGAAAAAAAAAAATAATCATTGTCTCATTGGACCTGGAGAGCAGAAAGACAAGCCAGGCCAAGTAATACGTATGGAAAAAGAGGTGGAGAAAGATAAAGCTATTAGTTCTAATCCAAGCCTCACTTTCGCTAAGTCCCACTCCAGCAGCTATCCGTTCACCCTCTCCCACAGAGAGTTATTCTTTAACAGCTCATATCGACAGATCTCATGAGCTTTTAATGACTAACATTAAGGAAAATTGAGGCTTATGCCTACACAGGGAGCTGTATTAGCCTCAATTTACAAAAGAGGGAAACTGAGGCATGAACCACCTCATTTCTTCTCTCATCTAAGCAGACGGTGGGGACTGAAGGTAGAGCTCGTCTCCTCCCCAGAAAAGCTCACCTTACCTTTTGCTAGAATAGAATATTGAGATTCTTTGGCAATTTTTGTTCTCAGGTGCTACATTTCTATGGAAACATACCTTTGTAAAGCAACAAAAATGCTGACTGCTTTTAAAACTCCATTTTACTTACCTGCCTTTTACTGCCATAACTGTTTCTATGGAAACTGCAACTGGCCATGAAGCAGTCTTGCAACATGAATTCTCACTTGTCAGTTTTAAACTCTTTAGTTTAAAACTGTCAAAGTGCCACCATCAAAGTCCTTCAATAAGCCACTAAGAATGGTGTTGCCTAACACAACTAACAAGCTTTTAAGTTAAACAAAACAAGAAAGTGTGCTTTCACTGTATATTCCACATAATATTTTGTGGGTGTGGTCTGAGAGTTTTAACAGTGTGCATGATATGACTCTCTTGGTTAAGGATATGATCTTTAAACAGAGAGACAATTTATTAGCAGTAAAAGCCCTAGTGTGTGTAGTTAGACTTACATAAAGGTGACTTATACCCATATGGGTATGTCTAGACTGCTGTCACAGAAGCATACTGTAGAGATACTGAGTAAATGGGTAAATCAACCTACAGTGAGCTCTGTGCTCAGCTAGCCTGGGTACTTCTGTGCACGCATATGCATATGCTATTCCCTGTAGGTACAAGAGAGGGAATAGGCTCAACCAGAGTAAGTGTTAGGCTGTGCTGGGTGGCTACCACAGAAAAAATAAAGCATGCAAGCTTAAGGCAGAACTATTCCACACAGTTATTCAGAATTAGAATCTTTACAACTTAAATCTAGGCTCCTCCATTAATTTTTGCCTTAACCTTTCAGTCTTGTAAAAACTGTAGGCTCCCTTGTGTTCATTCATATTACTTCCCTGAGTTAACTCAAGTGAGAAAAATCCCTTTTTCCTGTTCTTGGGGAGCAATCTCCAACAGAATGCACCCTACATCACAAGTCCAGCATTGCCAGCAAGGACCGACTTAAAAACCTCCAAGGAGAGGTTCTTTCAAGAGTAACTATCTATCTTTCCAGAGGCAAGTTCCTCTCACTTCATCTCTGAGGCTTCGCAGCTGCTTTTAAAGTGCAACAGGGGCAGGACGGAGAGGGCAGACACTGTGTCTGCATCAACCTCCAATGCATAGAAAATCAGTGGCATAGAGTTTTAGGCAGACTTTACATACAGACACACATCTAAAACCCAGGAAGTACAGCATTAAAGTTGGAGGCAACAGAACCCATTAGAAGCTGCGTGTACGACTATACAAGCTGCAGAGGACAAAGATGTAATCCTATTTTGGTATGAATTTATTTTAAGGAGACCCTAAAGAGCAACATGATCTCCAGACTATCTTTTCCTCCAATACTTAGAAAACTCATCCAGCCCACACACTTGGCTGACACCCTCAGGAGAACCAGGGTCAGTCTTTCTTCTAACTCAAGAGAGGAGATCACCTTTCCCACTGAGCCAGCAGTGTTCTTTTACCTCTTTCCCAGCAAAATCAGCTTCTGCTAATACAGAACATTTCAAGGAAATGGCCAGGCCAGTCTCTTAAACTAGATGCCATGTTCTTCCATATGCCCAAGACACCATATACTTTCCTTTAAAAAAAAAAATAAATCTCTGAACTCATGCCAAGTAGGTGACTTCTCCATGATCAAGCAGTAGCATATAGTTAACTCCTGAAACGAGTATGAATGTAGAAATACAATTCCAAACTACTTCATAGATAGCCTTTGTTTTTAAGCATCACTTCAAACTGATCAGTAATCAGAGCAGGACTCTGAAAAGCAAATCTTCCCTGTGGCCAACCAGACCTTTCGTAGGCTTAAATTTAAGTTGCAATTCCCCTCAGTACCACTTCACTCTGAATCTGGACTTCTTCCACTTATTTCCAGAGACATGGGGGAGTGGCAAAGAAGAAAGAGGACTTCTACAGTTCTTTATTAGTCCTCTTCTCTTTTATTTCCTCCTGCACAGGTACATCCTTTCAACACCTGTTCAGGCCCATATTAAGATCAACTCAAACCAGAACAGCAGTGCCAGCAGTAGGGCAGCCTGCAGGGAAACAAATTATTGAGCCCTGCAGCAAGCAGGGAATTCACAGCAAAAGAATGATTCATACATCAATTTTCCACTATGAACAAATGCACCATCTCTTTAAGGCCAGAGTTTTCCACAGGCCTCTGAATGCAAATGCCAAATATTTTGTCATGCCTTTCTCTTAGCCTATATCTCACTGCAGCCAGGGCTTGGAATGAGGCATATAATATAACAACAAACCAGAGACCTGGCACACATGGGTCTACTCACTGTCTTTCCTCATGCCTATGGTTTATTTTTTCCCTGCTAAGTCAATCCTTATAGGGCTTTACCACTACATCTGCCTCCTGGGAGTCTGCTATTTCAACTGTTCCAGGGAAGGTGCAGAGGAAAGAGGAAGGACACATTCAATCCCTTGTATTCTTTTCAAGTTAAAGGTCTCACCTCCACACCATTAAACAGATTAATTAAACAGACAAGCCCTTGCAGCAGCAAGCCCTCTCTAAGGATAAATACTGAACAGCTCTGGGCTTTGAACTATGGCACATAACAGAGATCAAACATCTTGCATGGCAACCTTCTTTAGGCCAGTGTTATTTCATCAACGTCTTGCGTTCCCCTGCAAGCACAGAGACGGATAGTATTTTTCCCCAGAGGGGACAAGGAATATAAGACACAAAAGATAATGGGGAACATGGAGATTACAGTGAGTCTTGCTGGCTTTCATGTTTTCTTTCCCAAAGCATCTGATTTATGGTTTACCATTTGTGATGTAGGAAGCAATTTAAAAATAAGCAGCAAAATGGAGGCTGGTTTTGAGAATTCTGGTCTGAGCAGAATCCACAGCTTCATGCGTCAGTAGTGCACACGGTAGCCAGGGGAATCCAGACATGCTTGACAAGCAGAGGGCAAGGTTGCAGGGTGGGGGAGGGATGCAAGACTCCATTCCTGAATATTAGTTTTCAGAGAAAGGCAAGGACTATGCTTCAGTAGTGCAAAAGCTGTGCATATTCAGGAATACATATTTATAGACATGGGTACACCAACACCACCAGGAAGGCCAGGCAAATCTTTTGATTATTTGCTTGTATGTCTTTTCTCTAGGTATTATAAAGTACACATTAAAAAAAAAAAAGATTCACAGTTATTACCATATGGAAAGATCACAAGATCAGTCTTGAAACGAGAAAAAATGAGTCCTGACGTGCCCACTGCTGTAAACAGCACTCTGGAGCAGTGACTTTCCTTTAGGGATGCAAATGTGAGGACGACCACGTCCCATCTTACTGCAAGGAAAGAACCAAGTTTCTTTCCCAGCTCCCCTGCTGTATTAGGATGGTCAGAATCAGGTTGATACAACTTTTACTAGGAATAGCGAGGAAGTCAGCAAGAATATTAACACAAGTATTTGAACAACTTCTCTGGAACCGGACAAAAACAGTATTTGGAGACCCAGAATGCTCTTTTTTCTCCCTCTATCTAGATTATACAAGGTAACAGCAACTTTTCAGGGTCACTCAATCTCTCCTTCCTCCCTCCTTTATCCTGAATGGACCACAACAAATATATCTTATCTTCTCTCTTAAAATGCCATATAATATCCTTCCATAGTGCTGACAACATCACTGTTTCTCTCCAGCAGTTCCAAGACACGGTGCATCACCATTTCAGCCAGAGAGGGGTTGTAGCTCTGACGAACACAATTCAAGACATGAAGGAAATGGCAGCCTTTTTCAGCATCTGCAGAAAATAGAAGTTAAATGCAATCAGGCATGGAGGAAAGACTTCAGTCTGTCTGTCTCTTTTTAACTATCATAATCCAGATTAGGCATGAAAAAAACCACAGCTGTCAAAGAGGAAGAATACCCTAGGTACTAAAGCAGAGATGAATGTATTCAGAGGGAAAAGACCCAAGACTGTGCCTACAACTCTCCAATTCTCAACTGTTACTCCTGACTTTTCTGGGAAGTGTCAGGGCTGTAACACTAATAATGAGGGCAAAAGATCATCACTCTCACAAACTCTGATATACTGGGCTCGATCAGTAAAACCTGATGATACCGTTAATAACTTAAGGGTACCTCTACTGAACACTTATGTAAGCCGTCCAGTTTCTGCAAGTGCAGAAGAAACCAAATTGAAGTCCTTTTGCTCATATCCAAGTTCAAAGCCAGCTAGAACAGAAAGATGGTCCGTGGCCAGGACTTGTAACTGCTTGCCCAATGCTGGCATCTTGTGGAAAATCTGCTACAGTGCAACTTTCATTCACGAGCAATGCAATCCCATCCCTGCACTTCAGACTGCTCAGACGATAATGGAAGTAGAAATTCACAGAACTGAAGTATCAAATGTTAAGTTCTCTTAAGAGCAATTAACCATGAAAATATACAAGAGAACAGAAATGCAAAATAATCCCCCTTTCCTAGAGGGTAAACCAGAGACAAATTCTTTAATGGCTGCTGCAGTACACAGCTACTGTGGGCCTGGTAGAGTCATCATTTGAAGCTCAGCTTTCCCAGTCAGCATTTCCTCCAACAGGCCCTGTAAACCCAGCCTCCCCAAGAGCTGAACGTGTAGCAGATTTCTTTCTTCTCAGTGGCTACCAATGTAAAGGAGCATAAACGAGACATCAGAAAAAAAACCCAACTTTCCTTCTTGTCAGCTCACATGGTGTAAGTTAAGCTTGAGAAGGGTACTGAGAAATTGCTATGGGCCAGGGGGGTCCCTGTATTTTGTTCTTGCTGCCTTGGTTTATATTTTTGCCAATCTCTACTCTAGAATCAGCTGAGCCCCAGAACTGCCTTAGAAAAGTCACTGGTACATAGGAGGCAACACTGAGTACTGGTAAATAAACAGTTCAGCCTAATTCCTATTAGGCTGTGAATCCAGCAAAGACATTTATTTAAAAGCCAGCAATCCAGTATGATAAAACACCTTAGTGGCTGGTAGCCAAAAATGCGTCCACCACCCCAGAATGTCTAAGTGCAGAGAACAGAACAATGCCTCTACCTGATCATAGTGACTGTTGTTGCAAACAAAGCAGGTAGCTGCGTTTTGCATTAGTCACAGGTTTGTCATAAGAATGTTCAAAGTGCCCATCCCTGATCTAACTTACCTTAAGTTTCAGTGAATTAGAATAGTGACTCAAGTGTTACCTTAAGTTTCAGTGAATTAGAATAGTGACTCAAGTGTTACCCAAAAGTACAATACATACTTTCCTCCTAGATGCTGGTAAAAAATGGCATTTTGGGGTAGCTTCCGGTAAGTACAATCATCAAGTAATCCAGAAACACTCCTAGTCTGCAGTCCAGCTTTAAGGGAATACACTCCCTGTAGCAGAGCGATGCTGCCCCTCTTTCACTGACATACTGCACTCCAGCTTTTGCCCACCAGCTGAAGTAAGCCAGGTTGTGAATAACTACCAATATCAGAGAAGACAGAGTCAGAGAACAGCTAGCATTTGCCACTGTGGACATCTCACACAGGATCCATTCTGACATAGTAAATGTAACTTCAATTGCTCCTGGTTTTTTCCCCCTCTCTACTATTGGCCTCAGCTAAGCCTAAAACCAGAGCAAAATCAAAAAACAAAATAAATAAATAAATTAAAAAAAAAAAAAAAAACCAAAAAAAAAAAAACCCAAACCCCAAAAAACCAACCACCCCCCCAAACCAAACACACCCACCCAAATCTGGACTAAGTCTACCATTCTGCAGTCCAGGCTGGAGCCATTCTTGGCTATCTTCGGCCTCTAGGTGGACCCAGAGTGGCTTTGCATGAGGGCATTCAAGATGAGAGTGTTTGGAACTACAATTGGAGCCAAGGACTAGGCTTGTCATGTAGGCATATTACAGGTCAGGGTTTGTGGAGCTCTGACTAGGCACGCTGGGGATTTTCTTTATTTCTAAAGTAGTTCCAGACAGCTGGGTTGGGCCTGAGAATGTGTCACAACTAAAGCAATGGGGTGAGGCATTGCCTTGAAAACTGGCAGAGAAGCAGCTCACTGGAGAGAAAAGCTTGGTTCATCCTAAATCAGTCTTCCTGTCATGGAAAATTAATAGTACTCTTGAAGGAAAACGAGTAGCAATTTCTTGCAATAAATAAGCAAAAGCCCTTTAGGTATTACTATGTTCTTATGTTCTTACTGCAAGCCTGCTCACTCTTCAAGGCAAAGTGGCTAACACTGCCAACCCACCAGCAGAGGGGGGCCGACAGTCACATTGAGCTCGGTGCCCTTGCATCATTCAGCGACAGTAAAATACCCTCAGTATGTTAGTTTGGACTGAAACTTCTTGGTTTCCCTCCTCAAAATCTTCTGTTACCAACGACCAGGACATTGAAACGGTCCTTCTGAAAACTAGCAAAGACACACTGATCTGGAAATTGTCCTTGCTACAACAGGAAGCTAAGTAGGTGGAAAGCTTCAAGCAGAACAAGAGGTTCTGTAAAGCAGTTGCTATTTTTAACCTGCTCAGTATGGAAAGTATGGCTCTGAGGACTCAGAACTCTTTAAAGTATTTTCTGAGACTGATCTGTAAGTTTCTCTCTGCTGTTGACTCTTCCGAACTGGGAGAAAGACCTTCCCAACCTCTCAGTACTTTACCAGTGTGACAATGCACAAGGGGGATGTCAAACACCAGGCAGCCACTCAGTGCCCTGTGTCAGCTATATACAGGTTCTGACCTTTATAGTGGCACAATTATTAAAAAAGAAAAATGGGTTCCCATGAGAACCAGCTGCCGTATAAAATGGACAGAGGAATGGTTTGAGTCTTACAGAGATTATGTTTGTATTTGTTAAATGGATAAAAGACAATAAAACAATGTGATACAGTAACTTGTACTGGAACAGCCTCAAGCAAACAAGCCCATCTCCACCTGCATGCCCAGTAACACCTACTCCCTCCAACCCTCAAAGATCCAGAACTTCTACCTCCACCTAGAAACTTTGTCTGCAATTATCCCACTGCTTGAAATAGCCAACTGAAAACTCAAAAATAATACTACTTCACTTAGCCTTTTTTCTTTCAGGATAACAATCATATACCAGGTCCTACAAGCACTATTATGGTTGTGATATTATAAGGATAAGAGCAATTTAAGATTATATGCCTGATGTTCTAGTCAGTCATTTATTCTGTACTAAAGAGCCTTCTACACCACAAATAGCTGCACTCCAGCAGCAAGTGATCCCTGCTGACACATTCTGTCCAATGAACTGAAACTCTGTACCAATGTACATGTGTAATTAGCAGACACTCAAGTTAAGCACAAGCTGTCACTATGGCAATAAGATACAAAAGGCTTGAGGGACAGGGATAACTCGGAAGCTACACAAGGTACATTATCTGAAAAGAAGTGGATTTTGTTAGACTGAAATTCCTACCTGCAAAGAACAACCACCTGAGCTCTACCTGAGCTTAACATCTACCGCAAATATCCTACTGACTTAAGTTTTATTGTTGACCTAATGGAGGTGGGGATTTTACCTTTCTGCATGGTCACTTTCGTGTCAACACCCCTGTAGAAACTGAACTAGCAAGATCTGCTACTTATCTGAAGTGCAAAGTGACAGCTGCTGGGTGCTGACCTAATATTATGTTTGGTTACTCCCAAAATCTAAGTATTCTCAAAAGATACAGGTCTAAGATAATGGCTGCTTATTTCAGATCTGAGAAGTCTGCTTCCTGCTGGGCACACCTGCTCCTTCTCTCTCCATGCTCACAGGAAGCTGCTCTTGCACTCGTGCTCTTAGCTATACTGATTAGCTACACAACAGCTTAGCTCCGAGTTCAAGGGTAAGGGCAAGAAGCATATCTAACCCAGCAGCAGGAGTAGATACTGTCATCAATATATCAGCACCAGCTCATCAGAGCCCTGATCACACACTGCTACTTACGCCTGGGTTTTCGACAGTCTTCTTTAATCACATCAAGGGTCAATTTAAGCAGCTCCTTATCATGGTCAGTCACCTGGAGAAAACAGAAGAAACTGACAGTTTATAGCAGTCTATTTCACAGTAGATGGCATGGCTATTGAAAAGCAATCCAAGGCCATGATGCACTCTAAACTAAGACAGTCTTAACTACAGTCTTCATTATATACTGCCTCTGAGATTAATAATGAATGATAAATCTTTAGTTATTATTTTTAGTACCATTAGCAGCATCTATGAGTTAGGCAAAGAACATGATACAACAGAATCCAAATGAGGGTGGGTAAACAAACTCAGTAGAACCCTACTTCAATCAAGAGAACTGTCCCAGGTATCAGGCTTCAGTGTGCTCAAGCTGTATCAGCAGTTTTGCAACCTAGTGAACACAGACTGCACTTAGAATAGCAGCAGTGCCTTAAATCTGGTGCCGAGTCACAAAAAGAACCACTCGGTAGGTGACTGTCTCTGGGCTAATGCCAACCTCATGAAGTTGAACAAAGTGAAGTGCAAGGTCCTACATATGGGTCAGGGCAGTCCCAGCACAGCTACAGGTTGGGCAGAGAAGTGATTCAGAGCAGCCCTGCAGAGGGCGACTAGAGGGTGTTGGTCGATGAGAAACAGTATGAGCTGGCTTCAGTGTGTGCTTGAGCCCAGAAACCACCTGTGTGCTGGGCTGCATCAAAAGAAGCGTGACCAGCAGGTCAGAGGAGGTGATCCTGCCCCTCTACTCTGCTCTCATGAGACCCCACTAGGAGTATCGTGTACAGTTCTGGTGTCCTCAATATAGAAAGGACATGGAGCTGTTGGAGCAAGTCCAGAGGAGGGCCACGAGGATGATAAGAGGACTGGAGCACCTCCCGTATGAAGACAGGCTGAGAAAGTTGGGGCTGTTCAGCCTTGGGAAGAGAAGCTGCCTGGAGACGTCATAGCAGCCTTCCAATATCTGAAGGGGGCCTACAAGGATGCTGGGGAGGGACTCTTCATTAGGGACTGTAGTGGTAGAACCAAGGGGTAATGGCTTCAAACTTAAACAGGGGAAGTTCAGGTTGGATACAAGGAAGAATTTCTTTACTGTGAGGGTGGTGAGGCACTGGAATGGGTTGCCTAAGGAAGTTCTGAATGCTCCAACCCTGGCGGAGTTCAAGGCCAGATGGGACAGAGCCTTGAGCAACCTGGTCTAGTGGGAGATGTCCCTGCCCATGGCAGGGGGTTGGATCTAGGGGATATTAAGGTCCTTTCCAATCCAAACCATTCTATGATTCTATGATACAGAGATAAAAGCAACAGTGAAGTAAGCTGCAGGTAAGACTTTTAGTAAAGAGACAGCACTTGGATGCCCAGCTTCTTTTTCTGAAACATTTCTACTCCCTATGACAGTTGTAGCCCTGAACTTCTTTGCAACCACAGCTTAGTTCCTTACATGGTATAAGTCCTTGGAGCTACCAGGTTTCTGGAAAACCAACCCTTTTTCTTGCAGCATCCTTATTGCTTCCTTAAAAACACTGTGAATCCTTTTGGAACTGCAGTTACTTTTTGACTTCACCTGGATGGGAAGAAAGGAATGAAGCAGATGGTGAGAAATCTCAGCTCAACTAAAGTTACCAGCAAAAGCTCCAGATGCTTTCAAGAGCAAGACAATTTCAAGTGATTTTGTTACACTTTTGGGTTGGGTCTTTTTTTTTTTTCCATCTAGTAATTCACAAATCATATCTGTTATGCATAAAACAACCAACATCCCTGAGCTTTAAAGACAAACAAATACCAGAAGCTTTTGCTATTCTTAAGGAACTGCAATCTCCTAAATACCTTCTTTGTATTTAGCAGCTATTTGATTGTGTACTGAAAACTCTCTTTTGGAATAGGTTTGTGATGCTCACACAGCATTTGACTGTTTAGCTGATCAAGCTTTGATGACATTCAGAGTTTTCCTGGTAATAAGACTAAGAAGACAGAGAAAATCAGTGCTTTGTAAGGTGATATTCAGGAAGAATCCAAATGCTGGGGATTGGATGCCCATCTCTTGATCTGAAACTGAGGAAGCATCCAAGGAAAAGGAGGAAACTGGCAAGAGCAGTGTTTGTTTCTTGTCCCCCATGTTTCCAAAGTTTTACACACATTCTGGTCATGCTTTCCAGACTTTCTCCACAGCCTAATGAAATGAAAGGATAAAGAGCACACAAGACATTAAGACACGTATACAAAATGAGGGAAAAAAGGATTCAGTTTTGAGGGCGGGTAGGAAACAAGTCTCTTGTGAAAGGAGATGGGCCTGGAAGTCCATAACTGAAGAGGCCATTTAGAACAAACGGTTCAGCTTCTGGGACACACCTACAAGAGTAGGAAGGAAGTGGCAGGGGGCGGGGGGTGGAGTGGTGTGGGGAAATTAGGGCAAAGCAGGGTTTGCTTGGACATAGAGCAGAGCCAAGACAGTGGAATGACAGCTAGGGAAGTTGGACGGAATCAGCTGGTGGAGAGGAGAAAGTATGGGTAGATAAGAGCAAGATCATGACTTACTCTTCTCCATCTCTTATCTGTCCTACTATGTCCTTCAGCTTCCCATTTATCCACACCAAGTGCTTCATTCCCCAATTGTTGATTGCTCCTGTTCGGAGCACATTGTGCTCCCTGTGGTTTCCTTTGAGAAGAGAGCTAAACTGCTTCCCACAAACCAACATGCGATAACTAGAACCACACCAGAGCAACCAAAGCATGATTTGCCAAGCCATTTCTTCAGCTACCACTGTAAGTGTCTCCACCCTGCTCTGAATGAAAGGACTACACATATTCTACTTCACTCACAGAAGCCTTGGGAGTGAAACAGGCAAGCACCTATGCACTAGAATGAATTCACACAAATATGTGAAACAGACACCACATTAGCAATGGAAAAATATCTTTCCACAAAACACTCATTCTATCAATTTGCAAGTCTCAAGTGAAACTCCAAGTGCTTCTAAGCCTGGAAGCTGATGTGTCTAAGTGGGAATAGTTCAAAGATTCGACAGGAATGTAAGTGTTAGCATGTATCATGAGTTCCTCCATCCCCTTCCTCCAAGCTAACCCTCAATATTTTGACAGACCATAGTCACATCTCACTCTCTCTGTGTCCCACAACAGCTTTTTCCTCTCAAACTGAGAGTCAAAAATAATTGCGTAATAGTTCAAGCTAATTAACACAGAACAATGGCCATTATTCTCAGTTCAGTTTTCTCCTTCGGTTCCAGACTGAAGGACTTCAGTGCCTAAACACTGGCCTGTGCCCCTGTCCACCACAGCTTTATCAGTCTGGATAACAACAGTCACCGCTTCCAATTACAAACTTGACCGTGCATCTGGACACCATTCCAGTCATAGTTTTAATAGCGCTATCATATTCCTCTTTATAATGCCTCTTCTGAGGAACTGAAGAAACAAACATAAAATGTAGCAGGAAGGGTTAAGAGTGAATATTTTCTCATGGAAAAGCACATTCTCTTTGCTGTATGTAAAATGAAGGGACTTTGCCTCTCAAATGCAGTAATAAACCCTCAAGAATCTAAGAAACTGCTAGCAAAGCAACCACCTCAAGACTCTGATCAATTTATAATGTGAATGCAAACATTTGGGGAGGGGAAAAAAAAGAAAAAGATAAAAATACCTCCAAAGCAGCATGATAATTGTTCAGTTTGGCTTAACACTGAGAGCCCGACAGAAAAGGGAGATAATTAAAACCAGACTGTGTGTGAACTGACACACAGCTCAGCCTGGATGGATACTGAAACAGAATCACTAAGAATGCAAGTCAAGGCACTGACAGAGCGAAGGCAGAGAGGCAGGCTTGGGGGTGAGAAAATAAGTAAGCAGCTGCTGCCTATCAGCACTCTCTCATATGTCCCACAGAGTCCCAAAGAAAGGGCTCCATGGCAGAGGGACTGTTCCTGAAAAACAAATGAGGACCCCTGCCCTCTTCGGGGACTTTAACATTACCCTGAAATGACACAGAAAGTTTGCATTTTTTTTCTAGTGTGCTCTAGATGTTTCTTCTTCTCCATTCCTACAAGTAAAGCAACAATTGAGATTTTATGCGAACACAAGCTAAAATTACTTGATCTGTTCTTCTGGTCCACCCAAAATACCTCCAGCATCTCATCCTGCACATTCATAAGTCAATAGTACTTATTCCCAACACCTTACCATTTTCTGTTAAGCCAAACCAGGCTGTCACTTCCTCTGGACTTGGATCCCCTCAGAGCCAATGTACAGCTAAGCTTGTGATTTAGTCTAGTGAGCAGAAATCTGCAGGAGACTGAGTATGGGGCTATACACAGAGAGAAGAAATCTAGGACTATGAAATCCTGCTTTTATTTCAGACTTGAAATGCAAGCATTTATCACAGTTATGAGGATGTATTGTAGCTGTTAGCGTTGTTCCTTCCGAGTCACAGATTATTAGCCATCACTTTACTTTTACAAAGCTTTTCATCTGAGAAATGCAGATGTTAAGTAGTTTAACTGCTGATCCAAAAGCACCAGCAAGATTTGAATATTGATTTTGAATTTAACTCTCACAATGTTCACATTTTGTTTTGCAAAGTGCTCCCCCACCTCAGCATGCCTCAGTTTCCCCAAAATCACTCATTGCTTTTGCAAAGCATCTCCCCACCACCACCACCTATAGAAAGAGAAGCAACTATTAAATGACAGTTTTACCATCCCTACCCTCACTCCCCAGACCAGTCAAGGACTCTTTAGCAAAGCCAACAGAAGAATCCATGTCTCCAGAATTGGTATTTTAATCAATATACTACATCTGAAGGGTTTCACACAGCTTAGTGAGCTGGTACTGTGCAACCAGTTATTCTCAGATCTTTATAATAAGACAAACTCTGTACAGTCAATAATAGGTCAAAGAATGAAGTGGTACAGGAATTAGTCAGTCTGTTCAAAATGCTGGAAGTATGTAACCTTTGGCTCATTACAAATCACAACACACCCTGATGGTGTTAAAGTTTCCTGGTACACACGTGATTCTACTCATGGAATTGCCCTTTGCAATTTTTCATGCAATGTTTAATCCTTAGCATAGACAGGTGATAATTTTAGTAATAGTGATTCTGGACATGTCAGTCCTGAAGTCCTATAATAAGCTCTGCAATATACATATTTAAAGTAGCAGTGAAGCTTCCTCAAGAGGCAGGAAGACAAGCACATAGCATTAAGAATGTATAATGCACTATATTATACCTACAGTACAATGCACAGGGTATATACTATAAGTATGAACAGCACCATAAAACTCCCTGCTTTAACTACTTGTCATTGCTGACCCCAAGATAATATTCAAATCAACAGAAGTACAAATGGTAGAGTCTGAAAATCACAACCCAAGTTACATGTCCAAGCTAGTGACATACACAAACTGGAATGGCAATACTGAAATAGCACACACTATACCTTATGCACAGAAGAAGTGCATAAAAATGGTTAATCAAGGCTGGCTAGTTGCAAGTCATATTTAATCCAGTTGAGAAACTGGGTGGATCAAGTTCACAGGTAGTTTTCTTTAGAAAAAGGAACCAAAGGCTTTTCTATTTGCCAAACAAAATTGCCTAAATCCAGCAAGTACACTCTTTAGGTTCTTAAAGCACAAGCTTGCTTTTTCTGTTTCTTGGCTGTAGTCTTCCTTGTGGCACCAAGCCCTCCAGTCTCAAAAGTCATTTGTTTTAAGGGTTAAGAGAAAGTCTAAGGCTTAGGGATAGAGAGGGCACTTGTTATGTGAAATAAAGCTCTATTGGTTTTAAAAACACCAAGCCTTCCAATTCTCTTACCCATCCTCTGTAGGCTATAAAATTAAGTACTCCCTAGTATACATCTGAGCAGCAGACATGATTTGAGTTTTACTATGAGCATCTGCTAGAGGGAAATTTATTCTGGAGACCCAGAAGACTGCACTGCTGGAGAGCCTAGTTCCAGGCTAGGAACTAGGTATTGTAGGACATGGATGGGGTGTGGACAGGCCTCAGAGTACAGTAATGCTGAAAAGGAACAGAGATGCTGCCTACCTCAAGCTATACCAGTCAACTCCTTTCATCTTCAACCCCTGCTCCACTCCACTGCCAGTGAATCCATAGCAGCTCATCACCTCCCTGAAGAAAATACTCCATAGGGAGATACCCTCCCACTATGATGAACACTGTGCAAGTACTTTAAAGGTTGGGAAAGAGATGAAGCAGGTGGACCACATCTCCTAGGGTCACAGGGAAAGGAAGACAAGGGCAAGAAAAGAGTGTAACAGCAAATGCTGCAGGGTTAAAAAAAAAAAAAAATTAAAAGAAGTTATACATCCAAATAACTCATCCTTTCACATAAAGGAAAAAAGCAAGAAGTGAGCAAGTGTGTATATTGACATGTGGTCTAATTGTTTGGTCCACTCATCTAGCTAGTGCCTAGCCAAATAGACATAAAATAACATCATTCCACACAGAACCCTTTATCCTTTTGGTTTGAGAGCAATACAAACCAGAAGACTACAGAGGGGGAAAAAGAGAAAAAGAGTGAGAGAAACCACTCTCTTGCACTTATTTTTGTGGATCAAACTGGGTACTCGACCCTTTGCCAATTACAAAAAGTGACCCCTTCAAGAGACAGTGCAAAGGAGCAACAAAATGCATTTCCTGAGCATTACTTGGTGCTCCTCTTAAGGCATTCAGGTCGCTTGACAAGTGCAGGTTCTTTCTTATGCAAAGATATATAAGCCTCTTTGCAAAGGATTAATACCAAAGGGCAATAGAGAGAACTGCAATTTCTAAATAAGCATCTGTGTGCCCAAATTCCTGGGACACATAGTCACATCTTTGCATCATGGTCAGGAGTAACTATTAATTATTATGATAGCTCCTCATGACTGCTAACAACACTGATGCTACATTGGTTTTGTTGGGTTTACATTTTTAGCTGGTTGGTGGGTTTTTTTGTGCTTTTTTGTTTGTTCTGCACCACTTCCTACTTTAAATGGCTTTGCAAGTTATTCATCTTGATCTTTCTATAAATGCTGAAACTTCAAAGATGGAAGTTTCCAGTATTAGTTACAAGGACCACTACTTCCTTTAACGTAAAGTGTTTGGAAACTTTTAATACTATTCCATCTAGTTTATAAAAAATACCCTGTCCCATGTTGGATATTCTAGTATCAAACTTTTCTGTCGAAAATGAGAGTAGCTCCTGTTATTGCTTATATCTACGCTCACTTTAAAGCAAGCAGCAAAAACACCTTTAATAAAAGAAACAGCTAAAACAGCTATCAGGAAGCAGCTATGACCTCATCTACAAGGGAATGTTTATTGTCTTGTTTGTTTGGTTTCATTTTGGGTTTGTTGTTTTGGGGTTTATTTTAAAGAATTAAACAAACATCAGATGTTAACATAACATAGCACTTAACTTTTACAGTGCATATCAAAATCAGGCAGTGAAAATGACTGCCATGGATTTATTTCTCTAGAGAAACCCAAGAAGTAAACAAGCGTATCACAACACGAGATTCAGTTGCCATTGGTAACATGGTAAAAGCCATATCTGTTACTTTTGCAGAAATTTACCCCTTCACACCAGTTAAGAATCTGCTTTGTAATGTACCCAAATAACACAGAGTAATATGAAGCCATTTGACAAAATGTTTGTTGTTCTACTTCCAATTCTGCAGTAGATCAAGAATGTACTATCTCACTGGAAAATTTCTTAACAGTTTGGTTACAAGCAACTGCATGTAAACTGAATTCAGTTAAATTCTACCTTCTGGTCCTTTCGATCATGGCCTTTCACAATTAGGGATTTCTAACAAAAGAAACATGTAGCGGAGAGCACTGTTCATCCAGTCATTTTAATCTCTTTTTGAAAGCTATATCTCTGTTAGTACATTGAGCTTCAAATGAGAAAGACTGTCTTCCTCTTCCTGAACAAATTCAGGAAGAGGAAGACAAATCTCAAACATCTGTCCCAAAGAGCTCAAGCACCTTAAAGGGATCTCCTTTTCTCATACTGCCACTATTTACAGACCTAGGTAAGTTAGTGCTGGTTGCAGACTGTAAGGTTACTTAGCCTTAATACAAGATTACACTTAACAACAGGATTTTCTCATGTGGCTTTCTTCAGTCCAGTTCTGTATGTCTCAAGTGACGAGGTTTCCTCAAGCTCTGTAAACAATTCATACATAAAGCTAAAGCACCTGTGGGTTTTGAACCCTCTCAAGGCACCAGTCTCTTATCTGGTTGTTTATGCATAAAAAGAGTACATGGTATTATTTCCCCCCACTAAACACTTGCAACAGTTACATTCACTTTACCTCCTGACAGCCGGGACTGGGTAGATGCACACCAACGAGTGACACCAACGTATCGATTGTTTCCAACTCCTGTTGGTAAAAGGTCTGAATTTTGTTTTCTAGTAGGAAGCCTTTCACTTTCTCATGCAGCACATTGATTGAGAAAGTCTGACCCTCCAGGCCACTACAAGGATACACAGAACATGTCAAAAGGCAAGAAATATACTACTAACATTTTTTTATTTACCTAAAGTTTGACTGCTAGACTGGTTTTCAAAGATCTAAAGGTATTTTACTGTCCTTAAATAATCCGAATTTAAAACTTGAATTAAACCAGACCATTTTTATATGCAATAAGCACTGAACTGTTCCTCTTCAAACATTTGCTGTAACAGTGTTGTGATTTTAACATGTGCAGTCTCTGAAATCACATTACATGCATTAGACGTTCCAGTAAGCACCTGGCTAACCTTAAACTGAATACAGGAATGGGTGAGTGTTTGAATCAGTTTGAGGTTATGTCTGTGACTTGATGATGACAAGGACAGCAGAAGTTGAGAGCATTTCAATGGAACAGCTCGTTACCCTTACACATAAAACAAAATCAAGGCAAGGATGGACCCCACCCCCAAAATCTTGCTCAAAACCCAAGCTTTTTTACTAGATGCAAGAGACCTGTACACAGTATTTTACCACCTTCTGAATATTCACTTTGGTTCAGCATTATATTTATTTTCTCAGATCATGCATAGGTATCTGTGCATAGAAAGGCTGGACCAGATGATCCTTGAGATCCCTTTCAACCTGGCATTCTATGATCTCATCTGTATGGATCATCAATTATTTGGGAGAAAAGCAGGCTGCTACTGTATGCTTATGCAGAGACTAGATCACAGCTGGGCCTTGTTCTATCTTTTTTCACAGTTATTACAATAACAAATAAACAGTAATAAAATCCCACATTTTGCCCCACGACCAGTCTGGATACTGCATTTACCTCTGTCCCTCCTCAGGACCTTGGAAAGGTTTATCATAAACTTCTCTATAGAGACAGGGAAGTTCCAGCATTCTTGAAATCTGAACATCACACACAGGATCATCCACTTTATCTGGAGCAGTAAAAAGAACACATACTTGGCCAGGACTGCCATACCATATATAAGCAAGAACACCTGAGGCAGCACAACAGAGCTTCCCATGCCAGTGTTAAACTGGCATATTTTATTCATTAAACTGGCATATTTTATTCACTGCTGGTTTTATAAAAACAAAACCACAAAGGCCACTCCTGCTTTTACAGTTTACAAGGAGGTAAATGGCCTCTTGTGATGCACTGCAGATCATGCTTTTGTCTGACAACTTATTTAACCAGAATTTATGATTGCTATTTTACCTTTCAGAAGTCTTTATCCAACACACAAAGTTAGCACATAGTAAGGAGCTTTATTTGGGCCAAAGTGAAAGGAATTTAGGGGCTATTTGAACTGCATGGCTCTCCTCTAATGAAACAATGGTATTATTACCAGCCCTTGAATGGGTTATACATCCATAAATCTTCTGTCTGGAAAGGAGGTTGAATTCCCTCTCAGGTTTTAGCTAGAGCCAAAAAAATCTAGACTTTTTTTTTCCTAAGCTACACAGGGTTTTTATAAAAGATGGGCTTCCCCCCACCAAAGGAATCATTTTCCTATTGTCTCAAAGATTTCACTGGGGAAAACTGACTCTTAAACAATAGCACAGGCACAGAAGAGAGAAGTTATGTAACTGGGAGCTTGTAGGGTACAATGCGCGGACTGCAGAACCCTGCTGCCTAAAGAGCTGCCCGATATATGGGCAGCACCTGCTCGCAGGCATGTGCCTGAGTGACTGAAGATGAGGGACACTTCTCAGTCATTCTGTAGAGCCAGAGAGCTCTGCTGTCTGCCCATAGAATGGATTATACACACTGCAACAAACAGCAACTGTTTCTCCAAAGCAGCTAATGCTCTTGAGGAAGCGTGACACAAACCCTCACCAACTCCTTTCCCATGGGCTTTGGCTGTTTTACACCAACACAATGAAAACCGAAGAGCAAGTCACTCTCACAGATACCCAACCACAGTATCTGCATAGTATTCTTGTATGTATGCTAGTAATCTTTTATAAATGAGGCATTTTCCAGGAAGGCCCTCATTTACAGGCAATCTAATCCTACATATTTAGTAGTGTGTCTTCTAACCTGCCACTGCTAAAATTGAAATAAAGACATGCAGATGTAAATCTCTTTGAAAAACAAGGTGCCAGAAAAGAAAGTGGAAACAATCCAGTGAATTAGATCATCTCACGAATTCAGACAACTAAATTATGTATGTCACTGGTCCACAACACTCACAAAAACATGAAGCCTGAATTTCTCTTTGTTGCCTGTAGGTTCGGATGTGACCTCTGACCCTGACAACATCCCCGATCTCCAGCTTGGTTTTCTGGCTCACCATTTCTCGGAGCTTCTTCATCTGTTCAAGTACAGTAAGACTGCTGGGTGTGCTTGGACGATCTGCAAGAAGTGAGGGAAAGGAAATCAGGCATTAAGACCAAGAGGACTGTCCTTTTGCATTCACCTAAACATCCCAGGACTCACATTACTAAAAAAGGGTTAAGGTCCCAGGCCCCATGTGTCCTGGGTAGCAAAATATTTGGGTGATAAAGTCAGTTTACAGTATATTTATTAGATCAGCCAGGGGAAGTGTGAAAGAGATGAGGAGGAAATACTGATTTACTACTGAAAATGTTGTAGGTGGGTTGCAAAGTTGAAACCCATTAATTTGAACTGGGTTCTGTCATTTTTTGATTTTGTCACACAAAGATGGATGAGAGGTGAAAAGAAAGGTCAGCTGAACTTACATAAAAGAATGAGTCATCTGAGGTGTGGCCAAAGTGTTCATGTGATGCAATTTGAAGTCTACACTGAGATGAATGCAACTTGACAGAACTTCCCATTTAAATAACACACCTTTGCAGGAGAGTAAATTCTTCATAATTTAAAACCTGATTCAGGATCCAAGTATCGCCGGTCATAACTACAAAGGGCTGGAAGGAAGTTTCCTGTGCCCCCTAGGAGCTGTTTTCTTTAGCAAGGTACAAATTAATTGATTTCCACTAATAACATAGTGTCCATTCAAGCACTCCTGATGTACAGGTAAAATAAGAACACAAAGTTGAAAGAAGCATTCTCAGTCCTTGTTCTATTTCAGGCAGTATTTAAGTTCCTCATAAAAAACCAGATTTGGTTGTGGGTCCCCATTGTTTTTTTGGAAAGCTGTGCCACAACATCACCTCTCTAAAAGTGAGAACTGACTTCTAGATTCTAGGTGCAGTTGGGATTGTTTCTACCAATTGTCATATCGTTGTTAAATAGGAGTAAGTATGAATTATCTGTTTATACAACTGTGCTCATTCCACAGGCCAAGATTTTAACTCTTACATCAAGTTTTTTTCTCCCCATTCTATGTGTATATAACCCTAACACCAACACCAGCAGATGACATTAGTAACATTTATTTCAGTAGGATTTCATCAGCTCGATATCGGGGTTGTCAATCTAACACATGACCTTTCAAGAAGGCCAAAAAAGAGCGCATTTCATACTTTGACCTGTGAGAAATGTTGGGAGAAAAATCAAAGCAAAAGCCAGACACTACTGAGCTCTTCTGTTATTGAATGCAATAATAGATTCATTTCCAATGCACAATTTCTGCACATTTAGAACTTTCCCAAATCATCAAAGACTGCTGGCATCCTCCTACTGTGTTCTATGCTTCTTTCAAGTTCACCATGGACAGTATATGCATGAGCAGAAGAATATGAATGCAAACAAAAAAGGGAAGATGAATGCTGAAACCACTGTATCACAAAAGTGGGGAAAGTATACCAGGTTACTGGTCAATAGATTGACTTTGGAAACAGAAGCTGTGGTATGTGGCAGGTTTCCAGCCTAGCTCCTCACTAGATGAAGTCACACAAAGAACTGTAAGAGAAGGATTCTCTGAACAATGTCACAGCATAGAGTTGAAATACCATATTACTCAGATAAGGAAAAGGCTTGACAGGTCATAGGGTAGTGCTTTTATTGGCATCACCATTGGACTCAACATAAAGAGTAATATGAAAACTCCCAAAATGGAGTAGGAGCCTGTAGGATGCGATGGTTTAAAATTTAGAAAAAGCATTGAATTTGCTCTTCTGCAACTTTAATCATTTAGTAAATTACATAAGACAGACATAAACAAAAATGTACAGTCAAAAGAAGAATTATTTATTTGACAAATTACCTGATAAAGATGTTTCTGCCACCATGGGATTTTTCCAGCAGACACAATTTATAACTCCAGTGCTATCATCCACTGTAAAAAAAATAAAATAAAATTGCAAGAATGACAGAATAAGAGAGGTAGTGATGCTCCAGGAGGTGAAAGATACACAGATATGTAGTGAGATGACCGCCAAGGATATCTCATGCCAACCAGTCCGAAGGGGAAAGTAGGTGCTCAGTCCCTGCTTATACCTCTGAAAATAGTCTCAACAGTCATTTTAGCCATGGAAGCACCTCAGCACCAGGTACATGCTTATGTGCATGGTCAGTAGAGTAACACCTATAGTCTCGAAAAATTATCAAGTACTCATTTAAAATATGAGGCTTCGGTACATGTACTGGGTACTAAATCTCATTTTATCTCATGACAAGGGTCAGAAGAAGAATCAGTGTTGAAAGCTGAAGCCAGACAAATTAAAACAGGAAATCAGACACAAACCACAGAAGCATTACTGTAAGAGTGAGAAAACAGCACTTCAGCACTGGAGGGTACAGTCATGTGAATAGACTAGGAGTGCTGCTACCTCCAGCTGCATTGGTTTCCAGGCTAACAATGTGCACAAAGTTTGCTGACCATTCCTATACAAGATGTTCCAGAGAATAGAAAGGCAGCTCCTCTAGCCGGGAAGGACAGAAGACAGCACATGCTTGTGGTTCTGCTCTAGGCCAAGAATTCCCAACTTAAAGTATACATACTGGTGGCATGCAAGACACTTCCGTTTCCAAAACGGCTTAACACCTTCTCCAGAGCACAGGAGCTATCTAGCTTTTCCTGTTTTGCTAGCACCCCATCAAAGTAAATTTGGGGATTTCTGCCCAAGGCACTGCATTGTCAAGGACAGTAGAGAAAGACAAAACCCAAAGAAAAATAAAAAACTAACAGAAGAATCAACAGTTCTACAGATCAAGAGATTGTATATAGATGGCCTGTCCAATAAACACTAACTAAAAAGGTGCTAAATATTTGTCAAACCACAGCAAGGATCACATCTCACACCCAGCTAATGCTCCAAGCACCTTACTGCTTGAATGTAACCATCTCCAAGACTGAGCTTCCACTCTTCACAAATTGGAATTTGCAATTTTCTTCTACTCCTTAAATCAGATCCATAACTACAAAAGTAACAGCAATGTTTACCAGGAAGGTACTGATTGGTACCTGCAGTCATTTCCTCTGGGAACCACAGCATCAAAGCATAATGCCTTCGCATTGTCTCACATGTTTTGAAACAATCTCCCTATTTGGGGGATCCAATTTCAAATCACTGTCTTGCCTTCCTGTTTCCCAGTAGTTTAGCTGCATATTCTTAGTAACAAACACAGAGCATTTATAAAATGCAGGCAATTCCAAATTCCATCACAAAAGTACATTCATTGCTATCCTCCTTCTGAGATGCTGTGTCTGCAGCTTTAATTTTGTACCAGAGTATAGATAATCATGTAGCTGGTAGGATTTCCTCTCAGTATAGACAAAACACAACTATTTTGGTAAGAATAAGAGCCTCCACATACCATGCCACTAAGAAACAGGGCAGATGACATTTCACTATTATATTACTGCAGCTTCTAGATGCTCCAGCTTGCAACTGGCTGTTGGACCAACTGCGACAGATAGGCTTCCTAAAATGAGCTTAGAAACAAACCAAACAAAACTGAAGGATTAGGAGGCTGGACTCCTAGTCATCAATGTAACAGCTGAAAACAGCTGAGTCCTGGAGAGACTGACCTGTTCTTGACCACACAGGAAATCTGGTAGCAGAGGAAGGCTCTCATGCAAAGTTTTCCTAGTTCGCAAATAAAAGCTTCAAGCGAAAAGACAAATAACTCCTTAAGCACAGACGAATGAGAACTCTTGCAATTGTATTCTAATTAGACAGGAGAGTGATAATCTATTTTAAATGCATTCAAAGGGTCTACAGGCTTTTGAAAACTTCCTGTGCTCCCTGTGCCGCCCTTCCTCATCTCTGGGGGTTTAAACTACTTTTTGTTTACAGGTGGGTTTGTTTCTTTGGGCCATTTTGTTCTGTTTGTTTGGGTTTTTTTATCTCTTACATTAACGATCCAAGGGGTACCACTCTCAAAGCTACCTGGCAAATGAGATAACTGTGTTCATATTTATTTCTTCATGACGAAAAGGGTATGGCCTGCGTGAGCCTACTGAGACCCCGGTGAGATGCTTTTAGTTTGTTTTTAAGGCAAGTGCCTTTCAGCCTTTCAAAACAGTTCTGGAGAATAAGGAAAACCACATGGAATGTTTTGTTTTGGTAAAAAGGAAATGGGGGAGAAAAAAAAAAGTCAGAGGTCAGAAAAGTACATTAGGTAAAACACAAGCTTGTTCAAAGTTACACTTTAACTAGATCTCTTTCTCCTAATTGATCATGGTAATAGCAACAATCGATCAAATCCAATTGTCAACATCAGGTTTTACACATGGTTGGGTTTGTTTGTTTCTTTCTTTAAGCTTGGAAAGAGCCAATTTACTCGCTTGCAATTGTGATTTTGTCACCACTTCTGGCTGTACAGTTTTCAGCACAGAGAAAGATTCTGTGGGATTAATTTAAGATAAGTCACAAAATGTTAAATCTTTCAGTTGATGAAAGATGTAAGATTCTCTTAAAATAAGCAGTGTATATCCTGAAGTAGACAGATAGGAAATGAGGAGGGGAGATAGCAGCAGTGACACAAAGATATTTCAGTTCTCCATCAGAGAAAAATTACAAAGGGGGAATTGCTTTGTAAGTCACTTTAAAGCAGATGGGAAGCGAGCAAGTACTGAGCAGTGTGCGGCAGTTCAACTGACAAAACGTCAGTTCTGTGACTCACCGACTCTGGCTGTTGTACCCAGAGAAGCAAGAAGTTACAAGCAGGAAACTCTCTAAGAAGTTGCAATTTTAGGGGTGTGGAGTCAGCCGGCCTGAGAGGGAGGGCAGGCTGGGGAGGGCAGCCTGAAAGTTCAAACCAGAACTGCTGGAATGAAGAGTGGAGTTGGACGTGAAAGGACAGCAGGAAGCCAAGCTCATCGAGAGCTGTATTTAGAGGTTGGCCGATCTAACACTAAGGCCTTAATTCCATGACTCTACAGGTTCTTTTTATTTCTATTCCTCCATTTTCTGCCCCAATCAAATATTTCCAACAAGTTTAAATCTGAACTAATGCTGAGAGCGTGGGAAACCCTGGCCCATAGAATTGTTTTTACCTTGATCATTTTGATTTAGTCTTTCTCTGTTTTCATGAAGCAATAACTGCATTTGCATACTACTGCAATGAAAGAATAATAGTTGATGTTCAATTTATGTTTCAACACTTCATTATATCCCCACCTCCTAACTTAGGTGCTTGTTTAGCCTGTGCTACTTAAGTGCCTGAGAAACTCGTGCTTCAAAATATTTACTGTCAATTCATTATTTAGCATAATGGCAGGGTAATAACAAACACCAAGAAATTAGACTTAAAAATAAACTAGAAAATATCCACTCTAAGAAACTTGCAGGGACATTTCAATAGAGCACAGAGCCAACACTAAGCAGCTGTACCCAGTGTGGGGTGTCGTGGTTCAAGCCCAGCCGGCAACTTGGAACCACGCAGCCGCTCGCTCACTCCCCCCTTTTTCCTTCCTCCCCCCGCTCCCGGCGGGATGGGGAGGAGAATCGAAGGAATGTAACTCCCACGAGTTGAGATAACAGCTCTCCAGTAACTAAGATATAATACAAACCACTACTGCTACCAATAATAATGATAAGGGGAATAACAAGGGAAAAGGACACAACCGCTCACCACCCGCCGACCGATACCCAGCCCGACCCGAGCAGCGATCTGCGCCTTCCGGGTAACTCCCCCCAGTTTATATACTGGGCATGACGTGCTGTGGTATGGAATACCCCTTTGGCCAGTTTGGGTCAGGTGTCCTGTCTCTGCTTCCTCCTGGCTTCCCCTCCTCTCTGGCAAAGCATGAGACTGAGAAAGTCCTTGGTCAGAGTAAACATTACTTAGCAACAACTAAAAACATCGGTGTTATCAGCATTGTTCCCAGACTGAAAGTCAAAAACACAGCACTGCACCAGCTACTAAGAAGGAGAAAAAATGACTGCTGTAGCTGAACCCAGGACATGGGGTTCACTATATGCACTAGCAGATCATGCTACTCTGCAGCAGTATGATGCAACTGCAGCTGCTGTGGGAGCAGAGACCTGGTTGTCAACTGTATCTTCACAATACTCCTGTGCGTCAGGGAATTGCTGCTGACTCGATTTCATAAATGAGGGAATTGGATAAGAAGAGGCACTCCATGATTTGCCTCCATCAGGTGGAAACCCAACACAGAGGAAGACATTGGCCATGAGTCCTTCAAGCGTTTCAACAGGATCTATGCATTTGGCTCCCCCTTCCTACTGTGAGATGATCTCCCCCTTCCCTGCTTTTGAAACTTGCCACATCACTCTGCTTTTTCTCCAGATGAAAAAGACAGCTGAACAAAATGGCAATCAGTTGTTTCCATGTTAAAAGAACAGCCTGAAAAGCAACAGGGAGGAGACAACTTCCAGCTGGTGTTGGTAAGGACTGGTACTATGATGCTCAAGTTAGATTTGCTAAGACCCTTAACGCATCTAAATATAAACAAGCTCCTGACTGCTATTAAAAGCTGTCTCGAAGAGACCACAAAACAGACAAAAAGTCAGAAAGGTTCAAAACAGGAAGAAGTGATTTCTCATTTGCAGGCACTGTTAAATCCATTTATATCTTACCAAAGAAACTGCATATATATTTATGTGTATATATATACGTATGTGTGTGTGTGTGTGAGAGAGAGGAAGATTGCGAGTCCAGTGGCAAAGCAATAACTAAAATTAAGACGAGCTAGATGACCCTGAACAAATCAGTTACTGTGTTTTAACTGTTTCTCTACTTTTGAAGTGGAGATAAGTAGTAGCTTCCCTAAGTTTGCTAAGTAATCCAAGCTGCAGATATACATTCTATTAGGATAAAAGCACAGTTGTTTCAAGAACAATGATCAAGCAAGGCAAATTTTAAGTTCTAACAGGAACTAAGATTAGAAGGCTGCTAAGTGCAAGAAGAAAGAAACTTTTCTTACCTCCGTAACTATAGAAGGCATCTCGCTCTTTTCTTTGAACCACCATCCCAACAACATCCACCTGTCTTATTGGATGTCCGTTATAAAAGAATATACCTAGACACAGAACATACTTGATAAGTGTAACTTACTTTCAACATCCTACTCTATTCAAAGTCATGTTCGTCACTAAAAACCCCATACTTTCTTACATATTTAATATATCTTGAATTATACAATACCTAGTCATGTGAAAAATCTCCTGGATCAGTGAGGACTGGGAACACTCTACTTAAGATACCAAAAGCTTGTTTCTGTAGAGTGTCAGAACTCTATTAACCTCTTGTTTTTTCTTGCACATTTGGACCCGAAAACCAGTTTGTTTGCTGCAGTTATTAGGGGTTTTTTAGTTGTTTTGCTGTTTCATTTCGGTTTGGGTTTTTTTTGTCTGTTTGTTTTGCTTTTTAACATCTTCATCAGGCTTCAGAATAAATAATAGAAGACAATAGAAGCAGTCTGAGCTTCTCACATTGCAGCTGTTCCTGATTAAGGCAGAGCTTCCAAAAGGAAAACTAACATAATTCTGCCTTTCATTTCTAAAAGAACAGGAGCCATGGGGGGCAGGGGAAGAGAAACAATCCTCTTAGATGGCGGCATACACTATGCAGTCATCATGGACAGCACCCTTAACTTCAGTTTCTGAAATAACAGCTTCTAAAAACAGCCCTTCAAAGCTATTTTTGTGCATATATAAAGATGACTTAAATTAGAATAACATGTGAAAACGTGTCCAGGAAACAGTGAGGAATCAGCACTCAGTGGACTTTGACAGCACTGAGGTTGCTACATGCCCTTTCAAGAGTGACAAATGTTGTTAACTAACACCAATGCAAACATTATACACTGAAGCTTCACAGTCCACTAGCAGGAAGAGCACAGGGCAATAAGCTCCAGATGTATCCTGGGCTGGCCAATTTTCAGCCTATGTGTTTTGTTCAGTTTTTGAATATTGCTGCTTCACTGAAATATGCTATCTGGGTTGTTCAGTAACTGTCTTTAAAAACTAGGTAACTCCAAGGACTAAGAATGGAGCATTTGGCTCCACACGCTGTGGCAAGTCTTACCCTTACAAAGGGAAAAAGAAACACTGTGGCAAGGGAGTGAGAGAATAAAAATCAAAACCAAAATCCAAAAATAACTTGGCCTACATAGCTGGCAGCCTTAAATGAGCCTGGAGTTAACTTACTTCACATAAGAAAGACAAAACACCCGAAGTTTCAAAAGAAATCACAGGTGATCAGCCAAGCAGCTCATAAACAGAAGGTTTGCTCATAAAATCCAGTGCAGTGTTTTGAGGATGTGTCTATCACTGTCATCTTAAAGCTGGCTGTAGTAATCGTGCAGTCACTGGTCAGGGCTGGTGTAGCAAATGCTAAGCAGGTCTGTCCACTCTCATTCCATTTACCAGGACACCAATAAACATTGCTATAGAAACCCTCAATAGAGATGCTCCCAGCGAATATAATTGTTCACTAAACCTTACAAAATCTCTATGTAAAAAAGGTCTGAGCCACCTTTCTGTGTCATTCTGTAGAGCAAAGACACCAAGCTCTCGACTGTGCAAACAAGCAACATATTATTATGTTCATTTCTGTCAGTAAGCTGAGTTTTGACAAATGACAGAACCAGATAAAACTGGTTCTCTCCATCCCCATAAACTCACATTGAACTCCACCCTTACTCTTCGAGAAACTACCCAAATTTGGAACATGAAATTATATTTACACTTTTAAAAGTTGTTGAACTTGACTTCAAGGTGTAAATTGTTTCTCCTGCCAGCTTACTTGTTCGTACTGGTAGCAGTAAAACACACCAAAGCTACATGCAAGCACATCCAGTCGAGCTCCAGCAAATCACATGTTCATTAACATGCTGTTACCACAACAGGAAGTCATAGCAGTGGTATAGGGGGCTCTAGATAGAGTTCTCTAGGGCAAGTTCTGGTCATGTCTTTAGCAGCATTACTAAGCACTGAGCTGTTTGCCATTGCTTTAATTGTTATTACCTCCTTTTATGCTATTTGTAGCTTCCCTCGCTCGTTGATAAGCTGTCACAGTGCAATAGTGCATGGTAACTCTGAGAAAAGCTCATTTCCATTATGTGTTGTAACAGAGTTTGACACCCACTCTCGTTTCATGGCCTCCAAGACAACACAATTGCTGGTTTTATCTGGGAGGTTTTCCAGCCTTCTTGTCACCATTTATAGCAGGAGAGTAATTGGCCAGGTTTACTGCTTTCCTCTCCGTAAAGGGATTAGTCATTATGGCATCAAATCCTAATGCTTAAAAATGGAAAGAAAAAACTTATTAGGTCATTCAGTCCATTTCCTCAGGGCCAATGCAAGACTGTTCTGTACAGTAAATTCCTGGCAATCTGTACAGTCAGGATATAAACAATCCCAGTGAAGGGCATCCCACCTTCTTCCTGGGAAGGCTGCTCCATGGTTTGGCAGATGTTATTCTACGGATGTTTTTCCTGACATTCAGTCCGTGTGTCTTTCCATTCCTCCTAGTTAGAACTCTTTGGTTTGCAATCATTCATTCTTAATTACCATTACTTAATGACTGATTTACAACCAATCATATATTTAGCTTCAGCTGGTCTTTAACAAACCCATTAAAGGCAGGAAACATCAACAGCAAACACCTACCTGCTTCCTTCCCCAAAAGACTTTTTTTTTTTTAGTGTTTCTGTTGTGCTAACAGCTGTTGCCAATAAATAAGATACATTGAAAAATGTCTGGTTTGGTATATATACAGCACCAGGAGAATGAAAAAAAGCTCAAGGTGTTTGTTCTCTGAAATATAGTTCTAAAGTTTGGTTTAGAAAATGATACAGGATTGCAAGCAAGCTTAGTTGTTCAAAATGTCAGACGCACAGGAAATAGAGAAAGCTTGCATGCAACAGTTTTAAAGGCTGATATCTTGACATGACAAATACCACTTCCTTAGGATCATCTTAGGAAAGAAAAGTAATAACAAAACTGAAAGTTCCTGAAGTAGAAGACAACTCACCTAAGAACACAAAGGGAAGTGAGAAGGGAAATCAGAGGTAAGAAAGAGCAGGATTGTGTTTTCTAGGTCCGTTCCTGCTTTTGTGAAAAGTTTGTTGATGTTTAAGTTCAATTCTTCTGCATATATTTTTGCATGTATATGTAACTAATGTCCAAGACCAAACTACAATCCTAATCCACTAACTTTGAATTGTTTTGTATTTGTTTGAAAACAATTATTATGTCTCTAATTGAAGCAGGAACAGGTTTTTTACCAGAAGCATTTGCTATGCCAGTACTAAGACTGCACACTTTAAAATGGCCTCTAAGCACTACTCACTGTAGTACGAACATCAACAACTGACTATAGCCTCGTTCTTCCAGTGGATTTAAGACAGAAGTCTCCTATCATGTTAAGTAACAGAGATCTGTATGTACTGGGCTTTGCAGTTTGTGATGTCTCTATGTAAATAAAAATGGTTGCAAGAGCAGAAAAAAAATTCCACCACTCCTTTCCTTCAAGAATACACTGCTGTTATCCTTGCTGTTAAAGAAAAGTAAATAACATCTTAAACAGGGGAAGCTTATATTAGATATAAGGAAGAAGTTCTTTACAGTGAGGGTGGTGAGGCACTGGAATGGGTTGCCCAAGGAAGTTGTGAATGCTCCATCCCTGGCAGTGTTCAAGGCCAGGTTGGACAGAGCCTTGGGTGACATGGTTTAGTGTGAGGTGTCCCTGCTCATGGCAGGGGGGTTGGAACTAGATGATCTTAAGGTCTTTTCCAACCCAAACCATTCTATGATTCTAAGAACACCAAAACCTACAAGGCAGAGCATATTCAAAGAGCCAAACAAGTGTCTTGATGCTGTGGAGGAAAAAAAAACAAACTAAAAAAACCCACAAACTCTGTTCGGAGTTTACTGCTTTTTCTTATTAATTCAAAGTAACTTGGGTTCCTCCCTGATTATCTCACACCTTGTCAAGCTTCAATTTGGATTAATGAACCTTTCTATAGCACAAAATTTACTCAAGTCTATTTTTAAGTCTTCATAGAGAAAATGGAAATTCAAGGTCAGACCCCTGTTGCTTTAGACAACGTACACATATGGGTGATATTGGCTGAAAACTAGCAGGAACCAGACTGCAAAGCATACGATTTACAACAATGGTTAGGAAATGAAAGGTGTGGTGTAAGTCAGTGCAGATGCCAGAATTTACAATAAGGTTATTCAAATATATGAAGAATGCCATATGTCTGTCATATCTGGAAATTAAGTAGGCAAAACCCCAAGACCTGTACCTGTTTTATAACACCTTAATATTCACAGGAAAAAAGCAAAGCCACATCCACTCAGCAACATCATGGACTCAAGATTTTGCAACAGTGAGAAGATGCATAAAATCCTTCTCAAATGTTGTAGAGACAGTGGAAAGATATAACACATATGACCAGAAAGGACCAGCATTTTTAGAATTAACATTATCAGAAATAACAAGCACTACCACACAGATGAAATGCAACATTACCTTAATGTAAAAGAGGTTCTGTATCTATCTGTCTATCTATACATACCCACACATGAAAGGAAGAAAAGCCATTAGAATGAACATTTTATTTTCACATATATTTCACATGCAACCTGTTGTTCCCAGAACTGTTAAAGTTATTAACATCACTTAGCCTAGGGGCATGGAACATTACTGGTGTTTATGAAGCATTCTGCAATCCCTCAATAAAGAGCACAACACAAATCAACTACAATTCTGCATGCATCATAATAAGTACATACCTGGCACTTGTTTAGATTCTCTCATTTCTATTATATCTTTAATATAGAGTTTTGCAAATGCAAAAAATACAGGATCCATTCCCCAGTGCAGAGAAGGTGTCTCTTCTTCATACTTCCTACACTCTGACTGCATTCAAAACCTGTGAACACAGAAGCACTTGTCATTATTTTCTACACAGGTAAAGTCACATACGTTCCACCTGTACGAAAAATAGCCCGGGATTTTACACACAATAACACAGCAGAGCTGATGAGAGAGAGAGGAGCCTACCTAATACACTGTTATCTCTGTGTTACCACTTGAAATATTCAAAGTGTCAATACTGAGCAGGACTGTGGGATACTAATTGGCTACTTTCTGGTTATTTTTTCTCCCTATCATTCTGTTTCTATTCCGTAAGATATTCTCCTCATTGTTCATCCTGTGCTTTACTGCAGTGTGGGGGAGGCTTATTTTCAATTAAACAAAAGCAGATGGCCCTTCTTTATTTTGGACATACAGTCTCAATTAACTTTGTAATTGTTACTTTCCCCTTTTGCCTCTTCAAATTTCCCTGTTTAATACCTGTCATCTCATGCCATTGCCAGAGCCAATGCTCTGCTTATCAGAGAGTTGATGTCAGAAAAAAAACACAGCAATCAATTCAGGAAGGATCCTTGTAGAGATTTGGAAGCTGAATATACTTTTTATTAGCTTCTCCTGTATAGATAGCTAATAAATTATTTATTAGCTTCTCCTGTATGGATAGCTAAAGCTTTCCAGGTCACCCCCAAATGGGTTTCAGCCACTTAGAGCTATAGGGCGAAGGTGGTAAGTGGAGTGATTTTGAGGAGTGTGTAATAGGGCTGAGATCTGCCAGCTACAGTCTCTCGAGAGGGCACAGCTCCCTGACAGGAGTTACCAGGAGCCTGCAGGAGACACTTCTAGCTACTAATGTAGAGGAAACATGCCATGAGTAGCATGATAGCATCCTGCTTCTTTGAGAAACAAGAGAGCTTGGATTCTGTGTGATTTCTGTTTTCACACTTAAATTTTAATTTGGGCCGGAAAATAGAGTGTAGCACGAAATGCTAGAATGTTGCTGGCATCCAGTCTGTGCTGTGGAAAGAACTGCAGATGATGATTATACTCATTTCTAGGATTTTTTTTTATTTATTAAAAAACAAAAGGTTAGCCATATTTTGACCTTCCTTAGACTGGTCATTTGTTTTGTTAGATGTTGAAAGTATCCAATTTAGTCAATTCCACCAGTCACTTTATCTTCAAGTAACAAACTGATGTTGTTTACACCTGGATTTATGCCTCTCCCTGCTACAGGCAGCTTTTCGAAACCTATCCCTTCTGCACACACAGCATCTACTCAAAAACATCTCACCACCCTTTTCTCCCTCACGCCTCCCCATGAAGCACATTTTTTTCCGCTGCTGAATTGCAGGCACTGCTCAGTAGAAACTCATAAATTAAGCTGTTAACTGTATGATCTTAATAATGCAAAGCTGCTCTTCCTCCATATGGCAGTTCTCTGGTTGCTTGTTATAGTCTATGTCAAATTTAGACCATAAATTTTCCCAAGCAAACACATGGTTTGAACCTGTGTTTTACTTGGGATGCTCGTTTTCATAATGAAATTAGTCTTCCCTATCCCTTTCTTTTGCTTGCAGTCTCTAGTACCAAGTTGCCCACATTGTCCCTGTGCTACTGTGTTCTTATAGCTTCTATAAAAAAAAGAAAAAACAGTAGGGGGGGGAAGGGAAGATAGAAAAAAAAAATGTAGCCCAGCAAAAGGTGATGGTAACTGAGCAGAGTTCACACCTCAGCTGATAAACAGGCACACCACAGGCAATCAAGGTTAACCCATAATGAGTTGGAATAAAGAGAAGCACTTCAGTCAGTGTCATCATTCATGGTCAGTGTCATCCAGCCTCCCACCCAGCATCAGGAACTTTTAAGATGCAATTTTGTCCTTAATGGTGCTATAGTCACCAACTACTCCCTTTTAAGTGGCACTTCTCCCCTGACAAGAAACATGGATACAGTCACAGACTGTTGTCCACGATCATCTTTTACACAAAGTAATATTCCTTTCAGCACTGTAACCCCCACCTTACCCTGCATGGTTACAAAGTCTCTCATAGCTCAGCACCTGGTTTTTTCTCCAAGACAGATGGCAGGCTGAGCTAAGCAGCCAAAAAGAGAGAATTGGGTAATAAGCCTGCCTAACTTTCTGCATTTTGCATGAACCACCACACACTGGAGCAAAAAGTCACCCCTGCACATCTGAGGGGAAATCAATGAAGTAGCACCACTGGAGAGATTACAGATATCTGTATTTTGGTATTTCAGCAAACAGGTGTCAAACCTAATATGCCCAAATGTTAACAGATTACTAGTCAGAGGTCCAAACAACATTTCTAGCTATTTAAGCATCCCTTTTAGCTATGAAGATTCTCCCCAAAGCTTTTACTGCTTCCCCATCCTGAAGGGAGGATTTCTGCAGCAAAAGGTCTTTCTGTCTGTGAAACTACTGGGAGCCAAATCTCATTCTGGGGCTTCTTTCTAGCTCCCAGGCCTTGTTACAGCTCTTCACCGGAGAAATTTACACCCATCACGTTTATCTTCATGTAGAGACTCACTCTGCTTGGTTCAAGTCTGCTACAGACACACCAAAATTAATCTTACAGATCTGGCAAAGATTCCTTGACAACAAGTAAATCACGCCCCCAGCGCTATAAAGAGCTCACAAGAGTTCTTGAAGCCCACAGGACAAATCTGCTGAAGTCATGAGTTACAGACTCTCCATCCAGACCAGGCTGGCACAGTGAAACCGTACTCTGGCCACTCACTCGCTTTCAGCAAAGTCTCACAGGCACATGAAGAACACTCTGCAGGGCAGTCTCCCCATGGCTCTTCATGGTCCCAACAGCCCTCTCAACCACCACCCAAAACCAAACCCATTTTCTTTCTTCCATCCCAAGTGGCCACTTGGTAGCTGCATTTGAACAGTGACCTACTTAAAGCCAAAGGCTTGTGGTATGCTGGGAGTAAAAGATATTTACTGCCTCCTGTGCTGCTTGCCATCACACGCTCTTATTAAAAATCCATTCTTCTTGTGGTGTTATCTTTTTGCTCCTATAGCAAAGGAAGATGTTCAGTCAGGAAGCAACCCTTCCCAAAGTACCTATTTCTCAGTTAGTTTTCAAGCTTATTTCAGGCAGATTGATAGTATTAGAAAACCTAACTCTTACAAGGCAGATAGAACCATAGAATAATAGAAGAGTTAGGGCTGGAAAGTACTTTAAGATCATCTAGTTCCAACTCCCCAGCCATGGGGGCACCACACACTAAACCATGCCACCCAAGACTCCGCCCAACCCGAGATAAAATACTTCAAATCCATTTCTCTTTTGCTGTATAATAGTATCTTTTGTAACCTTTTCTTAAGTTGGCACGGAAAGCCTCTCTGTCTCAGGCAGAATATCACAGGGGTTAATTCATTAGTGAGTCATTCTGGTGAAAGTGGAACTTTCCATTATGCTGGAAGTGTTTTCAGCTCTTAACTGGTACCACTGGCGATATGCTATCTGCAAAGAAGATAACAGCTAGCTACAATGATGATCCAAGGGGCAAATAGCAGGCATTGTGGAGATGCAGGGCACTGTAATCAATGAGAATACAGATAGCTTACAATAGACAATTCTGAGCAGATACTATATGTACAAATGTTTAAGGATTAAGCTGGTGAAAAGGCTTAGCAATACAGAGTCCTAGCAAAAGGTCATCCCTTTCTTCATTTTGTTTTAAATGCAGTGTAATGACTTTACAGTTGCTGTAGCACAAGGAATTCAATCCTGCTACAGGAGAAAAAAAAGGCAGGAGAAGCATCTGTTCCATTAACTTATTAGATACAAGATATCTGTATTCTATTTTTAGCTCTTTATAAAATAACTCCAAAGAAAGGCTACAAAAGCATAATCAAAACCAAAAATAGAATTAAATTCTGCTATTTGGACCACTTCTTGGGAAAATGATCCTGTTTCAAACCCAGAAAGCTGAAGTTTACACAGTAGTTATCTATATACAAATAAACAAAAAGCCTCCATTTGAGATTATTCTAGACACTAACATAGCAGTAGGTGAAAGAGCCTCATTTTACTATCAATGTTAGTTTTCTGACTGCAGTGAGAATTAAACCAAGTCCATAATCCTTACTGTTATCTTGTGAGCTCAGCAAGGTGTTATCCTAAAAGGGAAAGAAGGGAAACCAAGGAAAATTGGCAGCCTTCCCAATAATGCCACCGCCCAAATCCAAGCCCTGTCTCTTCCCTCTCAAACAGCCTACTTGGTAGTCTTGTTAGAATAGCTACCTATTTAACACCAGAGTTGTTCAACAGAACCAGCCCTGGCCAGTGATTTCTTGGCTCCTATTCCTATGTTCACCAGGTACCTTTTCAAAAATGGTGAATGACTAAGAATTGGTCTTCTTCCAATCCCAGTGAAATGTAAACCCCAGAGAATAGTATGTGGTTGAATGTGCCTTGTTGTCTTTTCTCCAGATGTAATTACCAAAACTCTAGGAGAAAATTGTCTTAGTTTGAGATTAATCTTTCAGAGCCATAGCAAAGGGATCTTGCCAGCTGTTGTCTACAGCTACCCTGCAGCTGCTGGCAAACTGCTACAAAGATTCTAAGGTTAGCTGTAAATCAGAAGCAGAGAATATTTATCCACCAATACAGCTTAAACATTCTACCATGCATTCACTCTTCTCCAAAGACTGCCACTACCATACTAGCACTCATGATCTACACAGGAAGCAGTTCCTAAGCTGTTAGAGCTGCCAACACTGTGCATTAAAACAACTTAAAGGCAGCATTGGTTTACTTGAATAAATGAGGCTACAGACTGTAGCTGTTAAAGAATTGCTTCATGGGTTGGCCACCCCTACCACAGAGAAAGCAACTTGTGGAAAGAGGAGCAGAGTCAACAGCTGGGTTTTGTACCAACCTCTGTCATCTGAATTGAACTCATCTCTGAGTCAGCACCCTACATGACAAATGATTATTATTCAATTCTTTATGATCAGCAGAGGCAACTCCAGCACAACGCAATTAAAGACACCATATTTCAAGAAATGT